TCAGTTAGACAATTATTTTCTTCAGCAAAGGAGAAGAAAAGATAAGAAATTTGAAAGAGCTTTTTAGTGTTGTCAGAAGTGTGGAGAATAAAACTTCACTTCAAAATGCCTGCACCAAGCCTTGCTCAGTATTTCTGACTGTGGGAAATCAATGCCTCTGCTGTGGCAAATACCTGCCATCCATTACATTTTTGATGCAACCTTTCAAAATTTCATCGCACCTTTTAACAGTGAGTCATTTTAGGTAACAAGCTAGTGACGCAGCATTTCGGTCATCCTTGCTATCGCTTTGGTAAGAACAAGCCTGCTCTTGCATTGGAGCTGTTGAATTTTGATGGCAAGTTCTCAGGCTCTCCATCCACATGCAGTTGCCTACACAACCAGTTCTGAGTCACCATATGAATGCGGCTTTTATTTCCACCCTGCACATCCTTTTCATGTTTGCCTTTCGTGCCTCTCCACCAAGCATACGTGAGGGACAAATGAAGTTGAAGGCAGAGGTGAATGGGAGCAAGGAGGAATAGGATAGACAGTTGATAACAGTGATATGAGGCTCCTGCTTGGATTTTTCGGGTGTAAAATCGCACGCGTTTAACTGAGGTGGAAGAGCCACACGATGCACTATACGGGGCTGAGCTGTGTAGGACGTGGGCTCCCAAATGAGCATCTCTGCTGCAAACCCACAAGTGGAGAACACAGTGTAGCTCCTGGAGCAAAGCCGTGCTCTAAGCAAATCTGTTTTTTATATTCTGTCATGCTACCTAGTTAGCCCTCCCCCTCACAGTGCCCAGTATTTATGTTTCCAGATAATAATGATGTGATGTGGCTGGCAGAGTAATTTAAATAATTGGACATTATCTTGAGAAGCAAGCACCTAATTAGATCAAAATAAACTGAGAACTGAAATTTTCATCTGTTTCTAATAACCCTTTACCTATGTACTGTATCGCTGCCGTAGCAGAGATTTCATTATTCACACCACTGTGTGTGTACTTAGAGTTCACTAGTGATGGAGACTCCTGCAAGACCAAAGAGCTTGGTGGTATTTTTTGGCCAAGGCTTAGTGGCTCATTCCTCTCCTGGAGTATTTTGCAGTCTTAATCTGTTGTATTTGGCCCTTGTATAACTAGTGAGGTTTGAATTTTGTATCAGCAGTCTGGGTTTGACTGCACAGCTTCAGAGATAAAAGGCTCAAAGAAAGTCTGATCTTGTATTTTTTTTCTTTCTCTAAGTTTACTTAGGATTTTATAATCTATTAATTCCTTATGCATATGCATTGAAAAAATAGCAGCTAGCATGATCACTGAAGAACAGAGAAGTTGGTTTAGTACATATGAGGAAGAGGCAGCTCACACATTCTCCAGCGTTAGGTAGCATAGGGACCATCTGAGCTCATGATGATGTTGCTTCTCCAGCACACTTGCTTTAATCTGGTCCTGAGAAAAGGACTGCTGGATTTTAAAAGTTCAGTAAAAGAGTCTTGTTTTGACTTTCATAACTACAGCTGAAAGTCTCTAGTGTTGAGGGGGTCATTTAGAGTGGAAGCTACCAGGATTGCAGCTAAAGGAAGAAAACATGGGAAATATTTACTAGCCGATGTACATTTCCTTTATTTTTAGGGATTGGTTTGGTGTCTTTCTCCTGATTAGTTGCTCTCCCTCACATTTCCTCATGCTCTTATTCAGTTGATTTATTTAAAGGTATGTCAGCGCTGGCTGAAATGAAACACTGTGCCTCCTCTTCCTGCTTATTGCTGACCGCTCCAATAATTCATTTTTTAGCTCATTAGCTAACAGGGGATGTGAACAGTGGTCCTCCAGGGAACTGCAATGAGGTTAAGTGATCTACTGCTGACAACTCTGCTCTTGGACTGGCCTTCCTTGGGGGAAATGAAACCTCAACCAAGACAAGCTGTGGATCCCAGAAGTGAAATTGGGGCATCAGAGCAACAATTACAGTATTTATGTCTTGTTGTCGGGATTTCTAAGATGAATGTGAGCGGCAGAGCTCACAGGACTTCCTGTTAAAAATGAAGTGGTTTGTGCCAGAGATGGAGGGAGGACGTCCGTGGACGTTGGCTTACTAGATACTCATTCAAAAACAATCCCTCTGCATTTTGTCTGTCTGTGAGACGTGGGCAACCGTGCTTTTCCTCCTACATCTATGATAAAGTTTCATTTTCTACCAGGAAGTGGAAACATTGTATCTTTCTTGTGCCCAGTTTGTACAGCTGAATAAGATCTAAATCCCATTCAATAGCTGATGTCAGTGACATGCTGCCCCCAAATGTCTGAGGCTTTTAAAACACCTGTATTTTTGTTCGTAGTGTTTGCTGTGTTCCCACCACAACCCTTAATGTCAGTCCAAAGGTGGAATTTGGCCTTAATGAATTAAGTCTTTTGGTGCCTTGCATGGTCAAGAAAAATCAGGCAAGCTTTCTGAAAAGGGAAACTCAAGTAGGGTAAAATAAGCACATGTGAAGGCTGATTTTTTAGGTGAGTGTAGCCCAGTGGGACAGCCTGCTGCTGGCTACAGGGTCCTGCTCTGGCCAACCATGCCAGTGAGCATCTCCTGAGGGACACGACATCTCCTTAGCTGCTGCCTGGCTCTGCAACAGATTTCCTCCGATGAAGGGGTGAATCCTGAGCAGACCATACAGTCAGCATTAATGCAGAGCGTTTATGGGTTACTTGATCATACTGCAAGAGAGTTCTTTAAGGAAGGACCGTTTGTATCCTCTCCATCGCTAATGCAAGTGGCAGCATGTCCCCCTTCCTGTTAGATTTATTTTTAAAGGGCTTTCCTGTTCTTTTCCCAGCGTTTTGAGACAGTAGGATAAACCTGAGCGGGACTGGGTCAGGTCTATCCCACTTAGTTGCAGACTTGTCTGATCTGACTTGACTTTGTGCTGCTCCTGTGCAACACACGGCAAACGTGAAATTCATGCCGATGAATTTGTAAACCAGCAGACTAAAGCTCTGAAAGCCTCCACCTGAACTTGGCATTTACTGTCTCTGTTCTGCTACATACCATTGCATTATTATTAAGGTTTAAGATTAATTAGGAGTGGAGGGACACTTGTATAAAACAGCTTGATTTCTAAACAGAAAGGGACTTCTGTTCAAGCGATGGTGAGTGCAGCAACCGATGCTCTGATGGGAGCCAAAAGTTACTATCACACAAAAGATGGTCTGGAGGAGAGGGGGAGTTCACTTGCAGATGCTTGACTAGACTAAAAAAATGTATTAGTTATGTGTCTGAGGTATATTTTGCCTTTAGGACGTATGGGGGTATGAAAAATAAATTCCCTAAACCCTGATGTGTACCACTGTTGTAAAACAGCGCAGGTGGAATCACTTCATTTTTCAGTCTGGCACATTTTAAACGCGTAGTGGATATATTGGTTATACTCTCAATACCTCTATATGCGTTTAAAAAAACATGCAATGCTTGCTAAACTTCCATGAAGGTACTCTAAATGGATACTGGAACTAGAACTGTTGTAGTGTTGCAACAGTTTTATTGTAAATAATTGCAGGTATATTACTTTATCCTCCTGGTGGCACTGGTTCTGGTTTGTTTTTTTACCTTAAAAAAATATAAATACAAAAACATGAATTAGAGATGCAGTAGTAACAGAAGTCCCTTTCTTCCTCCTCTCCATCTGGAATACATGAAATGATACTCTGTTTATCAGATCCTGGCATCAAAGGTTAATTTGCATCTCCCCAAATGTGGGGGGGTTTTGGTGTGTCTTTTAGCTTGCAGGAGTCATTCAAAGGTTTGATTTAAACGAAGCACTCTTTGTGTTAATTTTCTGTTTGCACTTTTTCTCTGAAAAAAAGCCCTGGTGGACCTGTTTGTAAGGTAAATTGCGGTGTGGTAGAGAAGCGGATGCTTTGGGAAGCTGTGCCTGAAAGCATCTGGGGAGGTCAAAGCAAGGTCACTCCACATGTACCAGGAAATGATGCAAAACTAATCCAGATTTGCTGTTGGAAGGATCTGTTTACATAAGTATTTAAAAACAGATTAGGGCTAACCTGACACTAGATTACTGTGAGTAGTGTAAACATGGCTGAAAGGCGTAAACAGAGCTTTGCCTTTTGTACTCCAGAGGAGAAAATCTGTCACCAGTAACAAGTTGCCTGGCGTAGGTGATGTATACGGTTTTCATAGGCTGGACAGATTACCTGAGGTACCTCTAAATGGGACTTTGTCTAGGGCTAGATCTCTTAGATCATATAATTGTATGGTAATTTTTTTAATGGAGAGTTGAGAGGCTTGTTTGTAGTCCTTGTTATCCTGTAACCTAATAGCATCCAGAAAGCTTTTGATAGTTCTTTGACATATCAGGAGGAAATGGTGCTTCAAAGTATTGTTTTGGTGGTTTGCATTTTGGAAAAACAAACAGAGGAACCATCCATACGCCTTTTGCATTGGAAACATTACTCCACTTGTAGAAGGAAAAAGCACCCCTGCAAGATGTGTTTTTCAGGACTTGCACTCCCATCTGAAAATGCAAGCCCAGGTGCTTGGTTACTTCTGGTCGTAGATACAGAAATTGGGTGTGTTTTCTGGAACTTATTTTGCAGCCCACCTTAACCCTAACGTGGAACCAGGCTGCCTGTGTTGTCTTTGGTCTTTCTGGTGGTGAGGGCTCTTGCACTGACCTCTTGCCAGCCCTCAGGGAAGTCCACGGGTTTTTAAAACCTCCTGGCTGTTGTGATCTTACGACCCCATGCTCACGGCATCTGCCTAGGGGGGATCTCGGACATTGCAGTAATATGACTCGGCAGCGATGAGATGGGTGACACAAATATCGCTGCAAAGATAAGGTTTGGATTAACTGTTTCTATGGGGGCTTTCTTGCCAAAAATTTGAAGGTGGAATAATTTTCTTTTTGGCTGACTGCTGTTTGCTAGCATACCGATAGCTGAACTGCCACCGTTCAGAGGCAGTGAAACAAGGTTAGCGTAACGTATCTCCTTTGGCTCCTCTAGGGAAGAAAAAGAGCGCTGGATACGTGCGAAATATGAGCAGAAGCTCTTCCTTGCCCCACTGCAGTGCCTGGAGCTTTCTCTGGGCCAGCATCTCCTGAGGGCTACAGCCGAGGAGGACTTGCGGACAGTCATCCTGCTCCTTGCCCATGGGACCCGGGAAGAGGTGAACGAGACCTGCGGAGATGGTGACGGGCGTACTGCCCTCCACTTGGCGTGCAGGAAAGGAAATGTGGTATTAGTGCAACTCTTGATTTGGGTAAGTACTTGCTGTCTGGGCAAGGGGGCTGGCTGGGTTGGCTTTTGCTTGGCTTTGCACTTCAGCAGGATGTATCCAACCTCCAACCTGCAGGTTCCACAAAGCCTTTACTGATGTCGCGAGTCTAGATGTTCCTCATTGTGTGCTCTCAAAAGACAGCAATGTAACAAAAATGTGTATTTCTGCCTGTCTGCTGCTACTTGATGGAGAGTAAAGGAGAGCATAGGAAATGAGGAAGGAGAGATTTCCCTAGCACCTGTTTGAAACACTACCATGGCAAGTTTTGTTCCACACATGAGCCTCTCCCTGTAGAAACCTTACGTGACTCAGTGCTGCACACGTCAGGCTAATATCCTGCCTGCTGTCTTCTCCCTCTCCCTGTCCTCAGTTACGTTCAAACCAATCTGTCCTGAGTCCACTCCCTCCATTTTAATGCTCTGTTGGCACTGCAGCTTCCAACAACACATCTCTTCTTTTTGTAGTATGGCGTCGATGTGATGGCACGCGATGCCCATGGAAACACAGCGTTGGCCTACGCCCGGCAGGCCTCCAGCCAGGAGTGCATTGACGTTCTCCTCCAGTACGGCTGCCCCGATGAGCGCTTTGTCCTCATGGCCACTCCAAACTTGTCCAGGAAGAACAATAATCGGAACAACAGCAGTGGAAGGATGCCCACCATCATCTGAGGAGCTCAGTCATGTATTCGCTGACCTGAATTACATCCGCAGCCTCATATTCCTCCATCCCCATCACAGCTCTGCTCTGTGAGTCTGGTAACTCTCCTTTTCCCTTTTCCTTTTGGTACACCCCTGTCCCATGCAGAAACGGCACAAGGGGATGAGAAGGAGCAAAAGGGGCTGCAGGGAAAGCAGTTGTTTCAGTGACAGCTCCCGAATGATGGAAACAAGCAGGAGAGAGCACGTGGGTTGAGCAGGACACGCCGCACTTGGCACTAGGACCATGGGAGAGCAGTCATCCCCAGGGGAGACGCAGGCTCCCTGAGTGTGGAGGAAAGGGGCAGAGGGAGAGGCGAGCGAGAGAAGAAGGAAGGAGAGATGGTGACTTTCCGTAACTGACAGTTAAGCACATCAGTACATTTCACCTCTACCAAACGCGACGCCTGGATTTCATTCTCTTCTCTGAAGAGCTTGACGGCATAAATCAGAAGCAAGCACAGAGTTTGTCAGGTTTGAAGCTCCTATGATGGTATGTGTCAAATCAGTTGTAGCTAATCTGTCCGGGGAGAATACTGGCTTCATTACACTTGTATAGTTGAGTTCTTCCAGCATTACCGCTGTTTAATAGAACATGATTAGTCATCACGGAGAAAAAAGCATATTAGCTGAGGAGGTAGTTACATGGCACGCTTCGGTGATTGCTTGGATGTGATTGCAATATTCTTAGAAGCATCATATTATCTCAGACATGTTCTTTCAACCCCTTGGAGCCCTCCTTTCTAAATTCACTGTCATAATTTAGTATCTGTTTAATTTTTCAGTCCAAAGAGAGGAAATGAGTTGCTGAGTGTTATTTGACTGCAGTCTCCTTGGTGTAAAAACAAAATGGAAAAAATAAATAAGAGTAACTATGAAACACAAAAAGGAATAATGAATACCGCTAAGGAAAAACATTTCAAGTACCTTTAGTGAAATTAATAAACGCATTAAAGGCTAATATTTTTTCAGCCAGCAAAAATAGGTTCTGTCATTTTGCCAAGGTAAATGTGTTGAGTTTTTGGTCACTCCTGTGATGCATTGCCTAACTTATACAGATTTTTGTATTGTGTCTCTAGATTATATGTATGTAAAATCTATTTGAATAAAAAAAACATAAATATGCATTGATAATTTTTTTGTACAGAAAATGACATCTCTGTTAATTTATAAACTGTAATGGATGTGAACTAAATAATGTGCAACTAGTTAGGATCTGTGGGTTACAGATCATTGTACGTTGAAAATATTCCCAGCAGTGAACTCTTGTTTCCATCGCAAGCCTTTGAGGAACATATCAGAAGATTATGGCACATTTGGCATAGAAAAAAAAAAAGTGTGCGAGACCTTTTAGAAAGGAAGAGGCTGTTTCTCAGCGCTGTAAATATATTTTAGTCCAGAAGTCACAAAGCTTTCACAAGCCAAGACAAAAAGCCCTAGCCTGGCTGTGGGAAGATCAGATTTGATTAAGTTCAGAATTGATAGCCTTCACCGTGGCGGGCAGGGCATGGCTGCACTTGACTCCCAACTTGGCTGTGTTCTGGAAGAAAAATGGCTTGTGAAAGTAGCCTGGACAGTTCATTTGAATTCCAAGTTTTAATACTTGATTTGATTATTTTGGTATTACTGGGCAGATCCCAGCTTCTCCTGTCTTCAACGAAGTAAGATTCTGGCACGGGGAGGCAGGCTGTATGGTTTTTGGCAGGCAGAAAAGTGATTTTTTTTTTTTTTTTAAGTGGCATATGGCAATGTGAAGATGGGGGAAGGGTATATCACAGAGAAAGTTGAAAACTCAACTGAATTCGATGGCAAAGGAGCAATTATGTGAAGGCAGTGAGGTGCACACAGCATAGTAATTTGCAAATCTACCTACTCACATGTATTTCCCAAGCCTTCAGTGGTGCTCTTCCTTGGGGCTCTGGATTTCATTTGGCATACAAATGGCAGGAGCATAGCAATTGCTGAATAAACTCTATGTGCACAAAATATGAAGGAAAAAACATAATCTGATTATCTTAAGGAAAAAAGATCAGAAAATTATGGATTTGAGGTGAAGTCATCAAACTGTAGAAGAAAAGTGAGCCTCAAGGTGGAAGCACAAGAATATTGACCAGCTTTTCCTATTCAGTGGTGTTCTTATTTTGTACTTTGTTACTGTATAGAACTTTGACTATTTGGGGGGGGGGACCTTTCTTCAACCGGCCTAGGCCTGCTGCATCAGAGTAAGTCTACAGCTGATTCTCTTCATACTGGGATAATTCTGATTTTTTTTTTTTTTAATTGAGGAAGGGCATCTGTTATAATTGCTATTTCTCCATCATTCCCATGCAGCTCCCTGATCTTTGGTACTGACGGGTGGTCCTTCAGTGACGGGACAACCCATCTCATGTGCAGCTGAAGGGGATGCTGTGAAGCCCACTGTGTCTTGGTGCTCACAAGCTTTACACGGCTACCGGGGGGACACAGCAGGGATTCAGGAATTGTGGCTTGTGGTCCCAGAGGTGCTATAGCTGCCTGCAGTTCCCCTGGGAGCATCAAGGGCATTTTTATCCGAAAACTAAGTCCACTGTTTCAAATACATGGTAGGCACATTTGTCACCATTAAGTTCTCAGTGCATGTTCCAGTTCTGAGCTGTTTTTTTTCCTAATTGAACATATTTTCTGTATATAATTTGATGCTTTCTTTGGGCCACCTTCCTCTTGTAAAGCTGAGAGTGATGTTTGAGAAACGAGGGCTACCAAGCTGTCATGCAGATTTCAGGTAGAAGAATTACACACTCCTTTCATAAAAATTTTCTGAAGGCGAACATTGAAAAAACACAGAATATTTTTAGGAGAGGAAATTCCAGTGTACTATAGGAAAAATTATATATCCAGGCTTGCCAACTAACAGCCTCATACTTTAATTAGGCAGTAACACAGTTGCTTTTAACAAACGTAGGGTTTTTTTTCCCTTGGAGGTGTAAGCATTGGCAGTACCTATGTTGAAGTGGCATAGACTATGCGATGACTTCCCCCAAACGTTTGGCGGTCTGCAGGGAGGATACCGGGTCTGCAGGGAGGATACCTGGTCGTGCATGCAGCAGTGATCACTTTGAAAGACAGGAGATCACCCAGCGCTGTCTCTCAAAGTCAGGAGAGACCTTCTCTGGCACTACAGCGAGTGATGCTCCAGCCACAGAACAGACCCCAAGGGTCCATGCCTCTTGGGGTTTGGGCTACAGCATCCCCTTTTCAAATGGGTTTAGTTGGGTGGCTGTGAAACGTTGTGGGGCACCTCCTGAGGTAGTGGGACTGGCCGCCTGGTGAGGAAGTTGGGCCAGTATAGACTTCATCCCCTTCATACACAGTGAAGCAGAGCAGGGGAAACCCCTTCCCACCACAGCTGAGGGCAAGGATGGAGGAGGTTCTTCGTGGCTGGAGCCCAGACGGGCTTGGCTTTGTGAGCTGAGGTCTCCAGGCTCTGTATGCTTTTCAGGGGATGTGTTTGCACTTTGCAAAGGATGTTCTTGAAGCTGTCCAGGTGCGGAAACAAGCAATATATACTGACACTTGGAGAACCTGCAGGAATCGTTCCCCTTACTGTCACTCTGTTAACTCATCTGTTTTCTGTTCTTCGTCTTGCATTTAGCCCCTCTCGTTGCTTTTATGGAACCCACTTGCCAGGCTGTTTATGCCCTTTGAGCAAGTTATGAGCAAATTAAAAACAAATTGAGATCCAGTCAATAAGAAATCCCAGCAGAAACATGTTAGCTAAAGGTTTTTTCTCCAAAAATGGAGTCTGCAGCTGTGGTTTTCTTTGCATCCCCCTTTTAACCCTTTTCATCATCCAGATACCTTTAAATCCCCCTATCTCTGCACTTTAGCCACGATGACTGAAACACTAGAAGCAAGTCAGCCTTTGCTATTAACATCAGCACTTTCCTTCTATTTATTTTAAGCTAATTGCTGTTGAATGGTGGAGGTGAGTCGGATGTGTTGCATCCGGCATCTGAACCTTGATAGTCCAGGGGTTGAGGATGGTTTACTTCTTCTCGCTGTTTATGAAGAAATAAGATCTAACCTTGGGAAAATTCAGGGTCCTGCCAGTGCAGAGATTTGGCCAAGAGCTCCCATTAGCAGATTTCCGATTTCATCGCTAAAAGGGGGCAGCAGAAAAGCTATTTTTGGAGAATCTTGTTATATCCTGGACTATGTGCTCCTCAGAAAGCCAGGTGAGTTCCACAAAGGTAGAGAGGATTTTTAAGCATTTGGGCATAGCCCATAATAACTGTGTAAACATTAATATTGTTTAATTTGCCATCTTTTCCCCATTTCCTTAAATTATGTGTGTTAGTGGAAAAAAGCTTTAGCTGCACTTGGAGATTTCCCCTGGCCAGAGGAAGATGAGTAACGTAGGGAGAGGAATAGAGGTGAGAATGCAGATACGGGCTTAGAAATGATCTCTGGCACTGTAATGTAGAATAATTAGATTGTATGGGGTTTGGATAGCTTCATCTTTTATATTTGTATGGAGATCGGGAAAAATGAAGTAATTTGTAGTTTCTAGTATAAAGTAGTAATAGTGGAGACAAGCACAGATTTCACAAGGGGGTCCCAAAGGGGCCCTTTCCAAACGTCTCGGGGAGCTGCATTTGCACCTTAACAGGGAACAAATGGTCATTGTGGCTGGAGGGACTCAAGGTAAAGAAGGACAGCGTTGGGGACCAAACTTGGGGCAGCTTGACTGGATAGGAGACAGCTTGCCCATTCCCATCTCATTGTCAAGCGTCTTCGTTTCCCCTCCGGTGGCTGCTACAGTGATGCGTACGTGGGATCTCTGGCTGTTAGGCTTGGATCCTCAGTTTAACATCTCCTTCCATTCTTGGCGATTTGTGGGTAACATTTATTGAGTAGAAAACCATATTTGGATGTTTTTGTGTTTGCTGCGTAGCGGAAAAAAAAAAAAAAACAAACCTCCAGATTAAACTTCTTTTCAAGGCAGAAAAATACTAAACTACCCCAAATTAAAAGGTTCTGCAATGAATTTTGACTTCTTAAATTCTAAGCTACAAAAAGAAGGTTGGTTTGAATGGTTTTATTAGAGAAGAATCTGCTGTTTGAAAAAAATATAGAGGTTATAGAGGAAAATATCCAAAGCTGTAGGTAGGTAGATTTGTTGTATTATGACATTCTAGGTTTTGTTTTGTTGTTTTGCATGGGCCAGTTTTTACAGTAAATATTGGGTGTCTCATCTCATGACAGTTTACCTTGAGTTAACTGAATCTGTCTCACTTTGTAAAGGGAGGTTCAAAGGCTTTTGGCCAAGATTTTGAGGACCTATGAATAGTTCATGTTTTAAGAGGAGAATTGGATGATTTCTGAAAATAAGAGATTAGTTTTGTTTGGTGGTTTGGGGGTTTTTTTTAGAGCCATCTTAAGCCCCAAATCACTAGGCGTGCTTCTGGTCATCTTGGCCCCTGTGTGACAAGGTGACAGCAGGTGACAGCAATATGTGGATGAATTAACTCCCATTATTTACTGTCATTCCCTGAATGTTCAGGGGGACTTTTACTTGTGGGCAGATGAAATAAAAATGTCTTTGTGCATTTCAGCAGTTTTAGCCTCTTCATCTCTGTATGTCCGCCTGTCTCCCAAATCCCTGTGGCATACTCAAGCAGTAGTGGTCGGTTCTGTTGAGAGGCAGAGCTTCAGCTTTCTCTTGACCATGCACTTTCTGGATGTGTGTTCAGCTTCCAGTACTAAGGATGGACTATTTTGCAGTGCTTCAGAGCTAGTAATTTTTACCTGTGTGTTATGTACAAAATGTGAAGGGGGGGCACGGGGGGGAGGGGGGCGGGGAGCTTACAGAGGTCTAATGGCATGCATTTGGGATGACCATGTTGCTTGCTGGCAGTGAATGCACCATGAGCTCTTTTGTGTATCCCCTGTTTTCCAGAACCAAATGGGTTGGGGTTTTTTTTTTGAGAACTGAAGCAGCTGAAAACGCTTTCGAGGTCCTCTTGAATGACAAGGTACAGGGAGTAAAACCCTTCACAGCAGTCAACTTGATAGGGTCTGATCTGTGCTGAAGGCAAACCCCAAGCTCACGCAGGACCAAGGAAGGTTTTTGGTACTGAAGGTGGGTTGTTATCTGGTAACAAGTTCCAAAACTGGGGTTTGAGTTGGGTTGAATTGGTGGATGAAGTGCAGTCAAGGTGGTTTGAGTCCCAAGATAAAGGCAGTGTATCACATGGAGGTTACTAGCTACATGTGCTGTGCATTTGGTGTGCATATGTGTGCTTAT